GTTGATCCAATACTCTTCGACCTTTGTACCCAACACAAAACTTGCTCCATTTTGCATCCCGAACATTGTTTCATCAACCATTGCTTTGACGATCAATCCCATCGCCTTTTTCACGTGCTTGGCCCTCGATCGTGCCATCGGCCCCTCAACTATCAACGGATCTTTCCTCGGGCTCGACTCTGGACTTGACTTTGGTACTTATGCTTCCTTGATCACATCACATTTCTAGGCAATTTTTAGGACAGGATGTGTAGGCCATGTTTCTGCACGTCCTGGCTACGGTAGGGATGCAACCTAATTTTCAGGCATTTCTAGGCAGTTTGTGGGCACAGTATGCAGGCCATGTCTGGGATTTTCAGGTGTATCTAGGTAGTTTATGGGCATGGTGTGCAGGCAATGTTTGGAATGTTTCTCAACCACGTTAGGGACGCAAGCAGATTTTCAATCAAACCAAGGAAGCACGGTGTGCAAGACATGTTAGGGACGCAGGCACGTTCCCAAGCATTCTGGGCAGTTTCTAGGACATGGTATGCAGGCTACATTCGGGATAAGTCATGGTCATGGTAGGGATGCAGCTTGATTTTTAGGCATTTTTTACAGTTTCTGAACACTATGTACAGGCCATGTCAGGGACGCAACCTGGCCGCAGCAAGGATGCAACCCAATTTTTAGGCATTTCTAGACAGTTTTTGGGTCACGGTGTACAGACCAGGTCCAGGACACGTCTGAGCCACGGCAGGGATGGAGCCTGATTTTCAGGCATTTTAGGGTGATTTTTGGGCACGATGTGCAGGCCATGTCTGGGATGCGTCCTGAATGCAATAGGAATCCAACCTAATTTTTAGGCATTTCTAGGCCGTTTTTGGGACACGGTGTGAAGGTAATGTCCATGATACGGCAGGGACACATCCTGATTTTCATATATTTCAAGGCAGTTTCTAGGAAGCAATGTGCGGGCCATGTTCGGGATGTGTCTGGACCGCGTCAGGGATGCAACTTGATTTTCAGGCATTTCTTGACAGTTTCTAGGACACGGTGTGCAGGCCATGTCCCGGACGTGGTAGGGACACAACCTGATGCTCAGGCATTTTTGGGACACGATGTACAGGCCATGTCCAGGACACGACTGGGATGCAGGATGATTTTTAGACCCCTCTGGGCACGATGTGTAGGCCATGTCCGGGACGTGTCCTAGCCACGGCAGAGACGCAACCTGATTTCCAAGCATTTCAAGAAAATTTGTGGGGACGGTGTGTAGGCAATGTTCAGGATGCTTCCCGACCATGTTAGGGATGCAAACAGATTTTCAACCAAACAAAGGAAGCACAGTGTACAGGCCATGTCAGGGGCACAAGCATGTTCCCAAGCATTCTGGGCAGTTTTTGGGACACGGTGTGTAGGCCATGTCTGGGATGCATCTTGGCCGTGATAGGGGCGGAGCCTGATATTTAGGCATTTCTAGGTAGATTTTAGGTTACGGTGTGTAGACCATGTGTAGGACGGGTCCGAACACGGCAGGGATGGAGCCTGATTTTTAGGCATTTAAGGATAGTTTTTGGGCATGATGTGCAGCCATGACCAGGATGCGTCCTGATCACGGCAGGAATGCAACTTGATTTCCAAACATCTCTAGGTAATTTTTGGGACACTATGTGCAGGCAATGTCTAGGATACGGCAGGGACGCAGCCTGATTTTCATTTATTTCATGCATTTTTAGGTAGTTTCTGGGAAGTGGTGTGCAACCATGTCCGGGACGTGTCTGGGTCGTGGTAGGGATGTAGCCTGACTTCTCAGCATTTCTAAGCAGTTTCTGGGACACGGTGTGCAGGTCAATTTCCAGGACATTGTAGGGACGCAACCTGATTTTCATGCATTTCTAGGCAGTTTCTGGGACACGGTGTACAAGCCATGTCTGGGACATGACAGGGACGTAGCCTGATTTCCAGGCATTTCTAGGTAGTTTTTGGGACTCGATGTGTAGGCCATGTTCGGGAAGCATCCAGACCACGGCAGGGACGCAGCTTGATTTTCAAGCATTTCTGGGAAGTTTTTGGGCATGGGGTGTAGGTCATGTCCTAGAAGCAGCCTAATTTTTCGATATTTCTCGTCGGTTTCTGGGTCAGGTCATAATGGGACACGTCCGTGCCATGGCAGGGACAGAGCATGATTTTCAAGTAATTTTATGCAGTTTTTGGGCACGATGTACAGGCCATGTTCGGGACGCGTCTTGGACTTTGGTACTTATGCTTCCTTGATCACATCACATTTCTAGGCAATTTTTAGGACAGGATGTGTAGGCTATGTTCCTGCACGTCCTGGCTGCGGTAGGGATGCAACCTGATTTTCAGGCATCTCTAGGCAGTTTGTGGGCACAGTGTGCAGGCTAAGTCCAGGACACATCCTAGCTGCGACAGAGATGCAGCCTATTTTTTAGGCATTTCTATGCAATTTTTGGGACTCGGTGTGTAGGCCAAGTTTGGGACATGTCATGAACACGGTAGGGACGCAGCCTAATTTCCAGGCAATTTCTATGTCGTAGGGTTTTAGGTTTTTTTAATTAATTTAGAATTAAAACCAGGAAAT